GAGAGAGAGAGAGAGAGAGAGAGAGAGAGAGAGAGAGAGAGATTGTCGGACGGGAGAGTGTATAGAGGTGTAGAGTTGTGACAGGTTATATGTCACAATGTCAAAACTAAACATCATGGGAGTGAGTGACAAGTTATGGAGACAGAGATTAACACCAAATTTTATGAATCGGCAGTTCCTCGTGCTATTTTGTGGAAGAAAAAGAAGAAGGTTAGTATCAAATGTCAAAAGCCGTAAATTTCAGATAACGTTTTTTTTTTTTATATAATACGACCTATGGTAAAGTCAGTTGCCTTGTTTATTTTTACGCTCATGAACTCGATGCAAATGTTATCTGAAATTTACGATTTTTGACATTTGGTACTAACCTTCTTCTTCTTCTTCCACAAAATAGCATGAGGAACTGCCAATTCACAAAATTTGATGTTAACCTCTGTCTCCATAACTTGTTACTCACTCCCGTGATGTTTACTTTTGACACCGTGATATAGAACCTGTTACAACTCTACACCTCTGTACACTCACCCGCCCGACAATGATATAAAGGGACGTCTACATTGGAAGTAAATAGCAAGATGTAGGAAGTAAGAGTAAGAAATTGACCAACCACAGTCGAATGTGAGAAGAATAATCAACTATGATTGATCAATTTCTTAAGGGACGTCTACATTGGAAGTAAGCAGTAAGAAATAGGAAGTAAGAATAAGAAATTGACCAATCATAATTGATTATTCTTCTCACATTCGACTGTGGTTGGTCAATTTCTTACTCTTATTTCCTACTTCTTGCTATTTACTTCCAATGTCCCTTATGTCTCTTACGTCCCTTATGGGACGTCTACATTGGAAGTAAGTAGGAAGTAAGAGTAAGAAATTGACCAACCATAGTCGAATGTGAGAAGAATAATCAACTATGATTAGTCAATTTCTTATTCTTACTTCCTACTTCTTACTGCTTACTTCCAATGTAGACGTCCCTTTACGCGACAGCCGAGTGTGCATGCGTCCGACATCCGACGCCGACATACGACGCATTGTAGAACAGGCCTAAAGATGTCGGCAGGGTCGTAAGTCGGCCGTCAGTGCACATCAGTGTCGGAAAGAAAGATGTGGTCTGTTCTTTTCAGCTGCACTGCTGAACTGGTGCAATAAGTTAGAGCGAGAAAAAATATACTTGGCTCACTTTAAGTTATTGCACCAGTTCAGCAGTGCAGCTGAAAAGAACAGATCAATGGTCAACTCCCATCTTTTCCGTTTTGTATGATTAGGGCTATCGCACACAAATTGACATAACTGCATATGCATAGCATAAGACCGTATGTACCAATGAGCATCGAGTATTAAGTCGCCATATTGGTGTTCGATGCTTAATATTCGATGCTCATTGGTCCATACGATCTTATGCTATGCATATGCAGTTATGTCAATTTGTGTGCGATAGCCCTTACAATTGGCTGCAACATAACCTACTTTACTGATATTATTACATATCTCATGGATTCATTGAGTGTGGATGAGATGGATAATTATTGATTTTGTACGGAAAAATAATTGTTTGTATGCCCAGACATGAACAGAAGTTCCTACAGAATTCATTTTAAAGAATACAGAATTAGAGAAATGAATATCTGAAGAATTCGTGAAGAAGTAACCATAATAAGTTTGTCTTGAAGTATTCCTCAGAAGTTGATTGTGGCGAATATTTTGCGACTTAATTCCTAGAACACTCTGAGAATTCGTGAGGAATTACAAGTGTTTTGTTTGTTACAATTATTTCTTGTGACTGCGTGCAGCAGATACACATCATTTTCAGTGCTTTATATATGTTGTTATAATTCGAACTTTCTTTGCAAATAAATAATGATAAAAAGAAAAGTGATACTATTGAATTGAATCGTGAGAATATAATTGAGTTGTGTTTATATTTTACAAAGTGTTACTGTATAACCTAAAGATGTGACTATTTTAATATAATTCTTTCTTTATGATACTTCTATATGATACTTATACAATTTTGGATTCTTTTCTTCTTTTATATAGTGAAAAACTGGATGTGTTTTAATTATTTCAATTAAAAGAGAACTGTTACTTATCAAACATCAACAAACATTAACGTTATATCAATATTATGATTTTCCAGTTAACTGTGTAAGTAGTACATATAACATATATTGTATGTAACAGTTATATTGTTGAACGAGAATTATAATATTGATGTAACATTGCAACTAAGTTGATGTTTATTAACTATCCTTCCAGCAAACATTGTCTGTAACAACATCAATGTTATAATTTCCTACTTAAGAATGTAACTAACACACATTATGTTGCATTTATATTGTTGTATGGGAAATTATAACATTGATATTATGCTACTGTTAGTGTTTACTGGGTTTATATTTCTCTTTCTATATATAAATATTATTCTTGAATTCATAAAGTATACATCTATGTTCATATAGTATAACTCTATATGAATAAAAAGTTCTGAGGAACTCCAGTCATGGTGCATGTAACTCTAAATCTTTCTTATAGTATTCTTCCACGAATTCCTAAAGAAGTACAATTCAGGAAAGGAGAAAAATTTAGGAACACTTAAAGAATTTATTGTGCTATCTGAGTAATAAACTCAATGTGAATTTTAAAATATATAAATAACTTTTGATGGGCATCAAAATTTTGTCTCATATTTACACCAATATGAGGTTTAATCCACCATCTTCTTGTTATTCTTTTTTTACGTTTCTTTAACAATAATAATCTTATAATTTACGTCCAAATTGATAATAAATTTAAATAAACACTCAATGTTTTAGTATCCATTGCTTACATCTATTCCGATTTCCGACTCAATTGTAAAATAGTAAGTCATATTCAAATCCGACATACGACATTTGACAAGCGATTAGCGACATCCGGTTCCGGCTTACAGCGTATTGTAGAACGGGCTTAAAGCTAGCCACACACTTTCGTGACAGTAACTATAAGACGTAACATAAGAATTGATCAATTACGATCGAGTATTCATAAAAATGGCGACCTTACGATTCGACGATTCTCAACATGATTGGTCAATTCTTACGTTACGTCTTACGGTTATATTGTACTACGAAAGTATATGTGGCCAGCTTAATACATATAATTATTCCCCTAACCTCTTGGGCTTAAAAAAGTTCCGGCCTAACCGCCGTCACGACAAGACGTGTTCGAACATGTTCGGACCTTGTGATTTTTTTGGATCGTGTCTTGGAAATTTCCAAGACTTTACTCTCAAATTTTATCATTAATCGGAAACTGGCGTAGGGGCATTACTCTTAATAGAGGCCTGTAGCCATATATTGAAGGAAGGAACCTCTTGGGCTTCACCCCCGCAAAATATGCCCGTCCGTTCGTCCGTGTGTGTGTGTGTAGAGAGAGAGAGAGAGAGAGAGAGAGAGAGAGAGAGAGAGAGAGAGGTGAAAATGTTCCTTTCCTTCCTTCCTTCAATATTTGGCTACAGGCCTCTCTAAGAGTAATGCCCCAACGCCAGTTTCCGATTAATGATATAATTCGAGAGCAAAGTCTTGGAAATTTTCAAGACACGATCCAAAAAAATCACAAGGTCCGAACATGTTCGAACACGTCTTGTCGTGACGGCGGTTAGGCCGGGACTTAGGTGAAAATGTTAATTTGATTGTAAGAAAATCAGTGCGTAGTTTTTTTTATGCAACAACTTCTCTCTCTTTCTATTTCTCAACTATTCCACTTTCATTTACATTGTAAATGATTCAAGTGTAGAATTTATACTTTATATAGAATTTATACTTTGCGCCATTGTATAAATGTAAAGTGACAATGTTTCGTGATATTATCGACATTCCTTCTCGCATGAGTAGGGCTTGTTTAATATTATATAACGAACAATACGCTTGTTGTATTACAATATCTCATAATGCAACAGTTATGTGTAATTGGCGTTAATTTTATTGAACTCTATATAGACAATAACCTTGCATGTATAAAGTACACAAATCGGCACAATAGATTCAATACAAAGTTGCGTCATTCTAAATCTATCAAGGGTCGGAATATGTATTTCAATTATTATCAATTGATCGCTTAGGACAAAATCCGCTTGATACTACAAATACTTAGAGTCAAATTAAGTAGTATGATTGGTCGATAGACAGATACATCGCTCTGAAGCACTTGCTGCCCGAAAACTTTACCCTTAGTGCGGGTACTCTTTGTTTTACTAAACGCATTAGAATGGTGCACCTTGTGATTCTATTGTGTTAATCTGTGTGCCTCAATATACAATCCAACTATAGTTATAAATTCATCCATTTGTTGCCACAACGACAGATGCATACCATATTTCGATGCACAACGCGCGCTTCAACTGAAACAATAGGTAAAAGTTTAAAAGTCGAAACTAAAGAGACAAAGATGCTAATTTCTTTCGTGAAATTTACTTTGTAGTTGGTCTTCTGGATGGCTCCGAGGCAGTAGGAGGTGGCGGAGGACCTCTACGCGCTAACTCTTCCAGATAACCCATTAGCAAACGGGTACGTTCGGCAGCCGCAGCTTCGAGCACGAGGAATCTTCGATCTTTCCTTAAAATCTCCTCAATTTCTGCTAAACACGCGCTGTTTTCCTGAACCTTTTTGTACGTTTTATCGGTGATTAATTTTGTTTCCTGGAAATCGTCGAATAGCCTCGTGAGCAATTGGTGGTATCAGGTTATATGGGATATTTAATATCGAATGAAATATTATAAATTGCAAAAAATTAACGTATTATAAATTTAACGCACTTGTAAAAGTTCTCGGAAATCCGCTTTAGCAGCAACCAGTTTATCCTTGATGTATTCCTTGAATTCCTTCTCGCATTTCTAAGAAGACAAAATGTATATACGCGATAAATAAAAGAAAATACATTTCGCTCCAATTTAACGACTATATTACACATACTCGGTCACTAGAAGAAAACTTCAAATATCTAGGATCATCCTTGAGCAGTTTTTTGATGTCCTTCCAGGATGCCGTTAACTCTGTCGACGCGCCCACTTCGTCGAGTACTTCCCGGAATTTGTCACGTTTCTTGCGGCCCAGCTGCTCGATATGCTCGTTAAACAGTCGTTCTTTTTCTTCGCGGTCTAAACTTTCGGCCAGTTCCCATCTATGGTCCTTTCTTAGTTGCCGCTTCGCTTCTCTCCACGCTAAATCACCGTTTCTCACCTGCAAATCAATATCACAGTATCAATATCGTAAAGTGCGATATAGGTAGATTGAGAAGAAGGCAGCAAGAAGAGGATACTAACCAAGTCGGCGAGAAGGGCGCTAAAGTGTTGAACCGCCTCTGTGTGACGGTGATGCTGTCTCTCTTTATCTCTGTCGCGGAGATGCGTAGCGAGAGTCCTTTGCACTTCCCTTTCCCGTTCTCGAAGACTGGCTTCCGCCCGTCTTTCTCGTTCTCTCTTCTGTTTCTCACGATCCTCCTCCGAATCGGAATGGTCATCTCCGTCCTCTTTCTAAGTGAAAAAGGAAACTCAGCTAACGAGCGAATAAGAGGCACGATAAACAGACTCACCTCATTGTCCTTTTTGACGCTCTTTTCGTCATTCTCCTCAATCTCGCCACTCTCTTTCTCTACGACCGCTTCCTTTTTGTCCTTTCCGTTTTCCTCAGCAGGTGCCTCGCTTCTACGCTGCTTCTTTTCCTTTATACCATCCTTGTCAGTTTTGTCCTTGGTAGACTTGGCGTCTTTACTCCTGTCCGATTCCTTACGGTCTCTGTCCTTCTTCTCCGTCTTGTGATCTTTCTCTCTGTGCCGGTGGTCTTTGTCTTTCTCCTTCTCCTTTTTGCGCTCATCCTTCAGTATGCGAACGTAATCTCTAAACCAATCCTCCCTTGTGCTCGCTGATTCTACGACCCTGTACCTCCAATCCGTTTCCAACTTTTTCTTACATTCGCTCCAGTGCGAATGCCTGTCGATGTCTTTGTGTTCACGCAGCATCGCAATGAATTCCTTTTTCACCTGAAAAGCATTTGTCGTAAGAGTTTTCATTGTCGAGGAACGATCACCGCTTGCTTACGTACTATATTATACAATTCTGCTTTTTAAGATTAAATTTTCTTGGCTCTCTTGTCATGCAGGCTTTTAATAGTATTTCCAACCGATTATTACACGCTCAGCCACATTACACAATCACTTTTATATAGTTACAATATATCATGATTTGTAATGTGGATCAAACTATTTCAACTTGCAAACCTTTTAATTGGTTTTCAAATTATATGTCATTAGGAGTAGAGAAGAAATAGTCGTGTTCGTTCGAGTCAGGAGATATCACAACGTTAAGGGCTCTATATTTGTCGAATTTTTTTTTTCTTAACGAAATAAGAGCTGGTGATTTTGGCTGAAAAAAAATTACACTCATTATTCCTGTAAAAATGATTATTTCGGAACCAGTCATCATTAAGTGCGCGATAATATTAATTATCCGCGTATCGAAGCTAAGTGTCGCACCGTGGAAAATTACATTCACATTTCAACGTGTTTTTTTCTCTCTTTATGCCTTTAATGATGACTGGATGTGTAAGGTAAGTAAGTGTCTAACTGCCGTCCTTGCTGAAATGAAGAAAATGTGGTTAGTACATTATCATATTAAACTTCGAAAACATTAGAAGCTCGCAGCCGTCCAAATTACGAAACGAGTTTCTCTTTAATTTCTTTTTTCGCCTACTCATACTACACTCTAAAATACCTCTCGGAGAGCTGAGAATCTTGGCGACAGCATTACGAATCTCGTAACACATCACGTCATTTAAATATTGCAACGCAATTTTTTTTCCTTTCGCTTTGTACGTGTGCGTGCGTGCGTGCGTGTGTGTTCGTGTGTGTGCGTGCGTGTGTGTGTGTGTGTGTGCGCGCGCGCGTGTGTGCGTGTCTATATTTAATGGTATGTCTTTTACATGAAAATAATGGTGGTTACTGAATTAGCATTACCAAGATATTATCTTCTTTAAATAGTGCACTTTTCTCTCCCAAGCTTCGATATTTGTAAATCATAATACTGAAAGCAATTAAGCGAGCAAAATAAGTAACAGAGAGATACTTTCAAACTGTTTGATGTACGCGAGAAGCCTAAGAATTAGTCCCCGACACAATTTTTCTCCAAAGTCTCCATTGCGTAATTTGTAAGCGACCGAAATATTTCGTGTGACAGCTACAATGTTTTTGTCGTGTTGAGAAGAGCGTATTTGGGTAATATTATTGCAAGTGAAAAAAAAAAATGATTACAGCTCAGATGCTGGCACATTTTCATCTCGATATTGCCATAACGGTCGTTACTCGAATCCTGATCCTACAAAAAATTTCGATGCACTAAGAAGCTTGTGCATTCAAGTAACTTTTCTTTATCAAACTGAAATGAAATCGTAAAGGTCCACTTGTATTACTCTTATGACAACGGTAGTCAAGGTTCTCAGAAGAGTATAAACCAAATGCTTCGTAAAAAATGAACACTCATACTACTATGTCACAATCTATCTAATTCTGCTGGGGTTGTCCATGACACAAAATTAATTTCTTTTCGCTACGTTCTTGTCGACCACAAGTCAGTTTGTACATTAAGATCGACTTGATCGTTCCAAAGTTTCGTGTGTAAAAGCTCAAAAGTGTCTCTGTACATCTAGTTTGACGTATTATGTATTGACATAAGAACAATGAAACAATGGATAGTAATATGAATTTTTTTTTTCTCAACTCTCTATATGTATGTATATGCATAAAATATATTTTATGCAACGCGAAAAAATTTGTCGGTCGACGTTATCGATAAGCGAGAAAATGCGAAAATATAGTTAGCAGATACTGAATACAAAACGCATGTAAACCGGCAGTTTTGCAAATTGCAAAAGCGACTAAATACATAATTTCATAATCGTACATGAATTTGTTTTTATGTCCATACACTTGATATAGGTTGAATGGTAGCATTAGAATGAAAAATTTACGTCTAAAATCGGGATAAATTATGAAAAACTGTAGTGGAGACTAATGCTACCTATATCGGGTTCTTACACCCCTTTCATCCATATAAAGTGAATTTACGTGAAACTTTTCAAATTGGTTTTGACTCTGGGGAAAGTTAATCTTTTGAAGTAACGAGGATTACGAGTAATATACAAATACCGAGTTTGTTCATTCTCATGACTCTGCTTTGGAGTAAAGAATGCGGCGCGCGAGGGTGTGCCAACTGTGCCACGCAGTGTAGGTGGGGATGGTAGATGACATCATCCATGCCACCAACCAGCTTCAGAACCAAGCCACTCCACATACGGAACCTGTCCTGCCTGCCTCCTGACTGAAGTGGAGAGTTCAGAACACATAAGTATATAAGGAACCGTCACATACTAAGATTTTATTCTCTACATCTCCCATCTTAGAGCTACAAAAACTTTTCTCTATCGAGCAAATCTATCGGAGTAGAGAATTATTATTAGAGAAATATCTCCTGGTATGTGTTCTTCGCAGCCGTTATAATTTAGGAATTCATATTTCGTAACTTTACAAGTGGAACAAAATAATAACATACCTATGGAACCTGAAAGAATAATTCATTATCGCTGCAAACATAAACTTCAATTAAACATTATCAAACATATCCTCTCCTATCTAGGGTAAGAATGCTTTGCGTCTAATCGTAATTTTATTCTTATACCACATTGCGCATTGTGCAAAGCCTCGCTTAATAATGGGAAATAATTCTTGGAAATTAATTAAATAATATACAATTATCTAAACATAGGAACAGGTGCCGAATAATTATATATATTCAGCCCATGCGCAACTTATCGCGAATGTAGTATGTACTACTACATTTACATGCTGCTTCGAGTAATCCTCGGGCAGCACTTATGAAGCTTTACATTCGTTAGAAAGAACGACACTTGCCTGGAATGGAAGGAAAAGAAAGGGAGGATTTATTGGATAAGATTAAGAAATAAAAAGGAGGCAGTTCGGAGACGCTTTCTTTTCAAACATAGAGGATTTATGTACACATTTATAAATAAGATATAACTTTCTATAATTGTAAGAGAAATAACATTTGCCAAAGAGAGAAAGAGGGAGAAAAGAAGGAAAGTGTGTGTGTGTGTGTGTGTCTGTGAAAAGAGAGGAAAACAATTGATTGTTCTTTTTATGTTTATAGCCTTCAAAGTCTAAAAATCAACACATATGAAAAAGAAGTAAAAATTGAAAATTCAACGTGTACGTGATAGAAGACTTGCCGCGAAATTAATATATACTCTAAAATATATGGTAAAATATGTAAAATAAGACAGTAATGACAGATCTATGAATAAGTTTGGATGCTGTCTTGGGGGATCAGTAATAACAATCTACAGAAATAGAAGTTTATTATTAATAAGATATTGGGAGATTTTTTTGTGTCTGTTATTAACTAAATCAAAGATTACACACACTCCGCTGTTAATGTAAAATTATTCAAAAGTCAAAAAAATAATGTACTTAAATCCTCTATACTGTTTACGTGTGCGTAAATTTCTGGTAGGATCTTGAAGGGGATACATGTCGCTAGAATGCTTGTCTTACTTATTGCATAATCAAAGAAAATGTTAAAAGTATTTCTAAATTAATCATTCATTAATATTGTAGTGCATATCCTGAAAAATATCTTTGGCATTGTCACAAAGAGGAGAGATTCTTAATGGGGTCAATAAAATAAAAATACCTGTTCGCGCTTTGCTGTTTTTTCTTCTTTCTCCCGCTTTCGCACTTCCAGAAGATATTCGTTGAAAAGGCTTTCTCGTTCGCGCATCTTTTCTACATTCTTAAATCGTTCATCCCTTCCGTGCTTTTGAGCAAAATCACTAAAGGATGATCTGCAAAATAGCATGAAAACATTGGTAGTGTCGATCGAGTTCTCTGCTCAATATTGCGCGTTATTTATCAATAAAATATATGTTGTATCTTTCGATTCACGTACTTTCCATGTAGTCCAGCTTCTTCCAAAAGTTTCTGAAATTGTTCCTTCCGTTCTTTCATTTTATTCCTCTTCTCCCGCCTTTCTTCTTCCGCTCTTTCCTTCACGTACTTCTCGAAGACCTGTTTCCTCTCTTTCGATGTCAGGAGTAAGTAGCGTGGATCGAATACTATTTTATGGAGTTCCTTTTCCCAGGTGCTAAATGCAGATACCTAAAGATACAACAGATTCGTCAGTTGCGTTACGATATGTATCGTGTGTGTGTGTGTGTGTGTGTGTGTGTGTGTGTGTGTGTGTGTAAACTATGTTAACTATTTTAGTAACTTACATCTTTCTCCGCGAGCATATCTCTGAACGACTTGATCCTGGTCTCCAACGGAACTATCGCTCTCTCCCTGGCTGCTCTCACCTCGGCTTCTATCGCGGCTTCCTTACCGATGTCAATAGTCTTTTTCCCTTCCTTTTCTTCCTCTTCTTTCACGGGTGTACCTGAGATATAAGAGTTCGCACAAGGAATCGAAACGATTGTGTCGCTCAATCAACGATTGTGTCAAGTTACGGGGCAACAAATACCTTTGGTATCATCCAGTTTCATTTTCTTGGTCGCTGAGGGTTGATCATCGTCGCTACTTTCGCTAGTGTCCGATTGACGTATTGGTTTCGCCGGACCGACTGCATCCGGTGGAGTTGCCACCATCTTATCTACATCCTGACGACCAATAAGATCATCTGGTCTTTCCCAGACTGATATCCGAGAGGACGGATTGTAAAAAAATACTCGCCCATCACCCGTCCAAACAACGCACCTTTGCATAAAATATACGAATATTGAAGAAATTGCGTAAAAAAATACGTGTCGTAATTATGGAGAGAAATAAATATCTCGTAAACTGCATACCACGGAGTTCCAGGTACCGGCGTACTGGAAATTGGTCTAGACTTGTCCTGAGGTTTCACAGGCTCTTTCATAGCATTCTCTTCTTTCTTCGGTTTATTGCTATCCGCGTCTTTTGCGCTATCTTTGGTTTCATGATTATTCTCCTGCTGCTTCTCTTGTTTATTAGGTTCGACCGCATTATTACTGGCATTATTAATAGTAGCCGTAACTGTAGCAGTAGTGGTAGGTACAGAATTGGCTTCTTCGTTTTTTTGCCGTAGGGCTAATTTCGCATCTGACAAATTGTTGCAAATGTGACGTAATTGTAAACTTACATTGAACTATCATAAAAGATCAAATCTAATAAACCTTAATATCTATTAGTTTATGTTGATGGAGCGAGAATAATTATGCAATATTTATTTTCACATATACTCGCACTTATTGTCAAGAGACAGGTCATACATTTGACACAATAACCAAATTATCGAGCAAATAAAGACCAATTTGTCACGTAAATAAATTGGATGTAATATAAAGATTCCGCAATATATTCGCGTAACTTTTCTCGCTCGTTTTCACTACTCATATTACATACTTTCCAGATCTTTTAGAGCCTGTGGCTTTTCCCATACTGATTCTCCAGCTTTGCTATTATAATAGTACAATCTGCCGTCTGGAGCACGATGCTCAGTCCAAACCATAGCAGATGCCACTAATTCAGAGTCAAGTTGCGCCAAAATGGCGGGATCCTCAGCAGGCGCTTGAGGTGTCATTACACCGTGGGGCATTTGCGGCATGCCTAAAAAACACAGATATATCATCACAATTTCAAACTGGATGTGTGTGTATATCTTTCTTTTTCAATTATTTCTATCATATTTCTCAGATTGTTTCATTCTTGTGTATGTTACCCCAGTTTGCTTGTGGTGGCCCGTAGCCACCGAAGGGTTGGAAGCCAGGCGGCGGCATTCCGAAAGGCGCTGTTCCAAATTGCGTACCGATCGGTCCACCAAATTGATTTGGCATTCTATGTTGCATAGGTATCATATTCGGAGGTGGTTGCATCATGTTCGTATTTACAGTTGATGTATTTATCGGTGGCGTGTTAGCAACTGTCGTAGATGCTGTACCTGATATATGATTAAATGTTTTTCTCATGATAATATTTTAGCGCTTTATGACAAAGACAACAAAATATGGCGGATAAAGATATTGGCAGAATCTAATCGAATGCTTTGAAACATTCAAATCCCATACCATTGGATTGATTTGTATCAGATGCCGGATTGCTAACGTCTGGCGTATCATTTAATGTCGGAGGTGGTCCAGTACCAGGAGGTGCCGTGCTTAATTGATTAATGGCATCCGTATTATTAGAAGACGATTGCTCGCCCGGTTGAGAAATTCTATTTTCGCTAAGTTGAGTCGGTGTGCTACTGGACGAAGTAGGTGTGGTAGAACGTGCTGCTTGCTTCGATGCACCATGCACTAACTGTTCTAACTGTAAATATAAGACAAGTTTATCTCGAATAATCGTATCAAGTGTGCAGATGAATACACAAAATTTCAGAGGTTAATTTGTATGTTTCTTTTTCCTTTAACACGTTATATAAATTGAAAGCAGAGATATAAAAAAAAGAAAAGGGAACTATAATTTAATCGCAAAAAAATAGTGAATGTAATCTCAATATCAAAGTGCCATTTGATCCAAATTTTTTAATCACGAGACGCGCTCAAAAAAATCGAAATCGTTTACAAAACAACCAAGTACAGAAATTCAATATTTATGATGTTATAGCTACAATTAATATTTACTCACCTGATCTTGCACCATGACCTTCACATTTGGTCCCTCTGGTTTAGTCCAAGTGGTGTCTCGTGTACGAATATTATAATAATATGATTTACCATCGGATGTTTTTGTCTCTACCCATACTTCTCCATTGAGATCTAAACCTGGAATGTTTGCTTGCTGTTGTGATTGTTGTTGAGATGGCTGTTGTTGTCCTGGAATCTAAAACACATTTTGAAAATCTACCTTTAAACTCATCATTAGATATCTCTCCATTTTTTGCTCTTAATGACATTATGTATTTAGGTATAATGTGTACATCATGCAGTTTTTATTATCTGATTTATAAAAAATGCTATAAAAATCTCATAAGATGGGAAGTCTATAAATTTTTCTGTGTTATACAACACTTACGCTATTCATGTTAGGTGGTCCCATTCCAGGAGGTGGTCCATATGGACCTGGTCCTGCACCAATAGGACCATTCATTATATGTGGTGGTGGCTAAATCAATAATAAAATCACACATATATGTGTATATATATATAAATATATATACAATAACAACATTACAATAACAACTAAAAAGTTCAATTTAAATTAAAATAAATCATAACTTTTTACAAAAACAATGTAATGTAATGTATAAAACATGTACCATTCCTGGAGGACCCATTAAATTTGGAGGCCCCATTAGATTTGGTGGTCCCATGGGTCCCCAACTAGGATCGAATGGTGGTGGACCACGAAATCTTGGTCCAGCTGGGCCAGGAGGACAGTTCGGCCTTGGTGGACCCTCAAAAGGAAATCCATTGTTTGCTCCACGAAACATTGGTCCTCGTGGTCCAAAACCTCTTCCCCGAAACCTTGGAGGCCCACCTCTCATAGGGAAATCAAACCCACCTCTGCCACGACCCCTTAAATTATTTTTATATGTTGTGACTGTATATACTTATTGATGTCGTACCACTTAACGGAAGGAAGGACACAAGTATCTCTTATATATCTTAAACCTGACATATCTTTCAAAGAAAGACATCATTAGGGACATTCACATTCTCTAAATACTAACAATTCTGCTATGTACTTTTATATGTAATGAATAAATGACAATAATTATTTTTCGAGTAAACTAACTGATGTTAAATAAAAAAACACAGAAGAGGTCTCATATGTTGAACGTCTCGTGTACAATTAATCGAGATGTCACACGAAACGATATAACAAGGGCTACTGACTATAAACGATCCAAAAAAAGAGGTCAAGCAGAAGCATTATGTGACGAATAGGGAGGAAGGCAAGGATGACAATAAAAGGGTACACGAATTCGGTTAGACGAATTTCGGAATTCATCACAAACGTATACGCACCGAAAGCCGCCACGGCCACGCGGCACGAAATGCCTATATTCATCCCCATCGTAATTGTACTCCTCTGTTTCCTCCATAGTCTCGTCATTGTGCTCTTGCTCGCTGCTGGAAACGGGCTCGGCCGTAATCGCGGGCGGTTGTTCACCGCTCGCGTCCATTGTGCGATGATATGCGATAAAGAGTAGACAAAACTGTCGGAATTCTTACACGCCCAGTTATCACTTTTTCTCTCGGACAGCCAGAAAAACAGCCGCAAACAAATCACTATTTTACGCGATGCGATCTGTAAACATATTGCTGCCAATACGTCTTGCAAAAATTCCCCTAGTCACGTCGCATGGCAAACTGCTGGGCTGCGTTCTAAAATTTTACTCGGTGGATAGAGTACATTTAAATGACCAATCATAATAAAGAAATCCTAGTTATCTTTGTTCTTATTGGTCAATTAAATACTACTCTATCCATCGAGTAGAGTTTTGGAACACAACTCTGGGCTGCGTTCCAAAACTCTACTCCGAGTAGCGAAGTTAACTCAATGTCGTTCTAAAATGTGGTATAACCTAGGCTGCGTTCGCTTTGGACGCTTATGCGCTGTAAGGCTGAGTTCCCATTTAGCGCGTCACGCATCGCGTCGTCCGAGTTGAGCTAATCAAATCGTCCCATTTTATTCAGCGTAAAGTTACGCAATAAAATGGGACGTACCCTTAAGCTTTACAGCCATATTCTTATAGCTATTGTAGACGAGCCTTAATAATCGACTGTGACTAATAGCGTGTTCGACTGGCCCTGGGTTAATCTACTAAAAAATTATTAAGAAAAAAAGTTGAACACTTTAATAAACAATGACTGACGGTTAATGTGACGATAGGTTGGATTAAGTTAGTTTTGAGGGAGGGTGCGGAGGGCGGAGCCCCCCGCTAATCATTCGATATTTGCAATTACATAATGTGATTAAAAAACCAGTAACTTGTTTAAATTGTGGGAAAGCAGCAACATTTGACAAGTGAAAAAAAAATAAAAAAAAAGTTAAAACAATATATAACTTGCATATTTTTCGGACTCCCCCGATTGATTATCAATGTTGGAGTAAAAATAAATATTTTTTTCCAAAAGAGCTGCAAAAAAATATAAAAATTTGAAAAAGGCCTTAGGGTGCTATTTCACGTGTCGTACGACAAGCTTTTCGGATACGTTTATTGATTGGCGAATAGAGTATTTCTAGGTTCTCTGTTCGTCAATCAATGAACGTATCCAAAAAGCTTGTCGTACGACATGTAGAATATCAGCCTTATTATACATAATTACCCGAAAATGAACCATGAGTATAGAAATATTAGATAGTACACCGATCGTGCCTGACGGTACTTCCACAGCAGCGCTTGAGATCGATATTTCGGTCAAATATGATTTTTTAATATTTAATTAAAATTATCTGGATAACTTACAAACCTTTTTAATGATACTTCATAACTCTTCATACGAAATACAAACAATATCATACCGAACCTTTGTTTTATTTACCTCCGGTTATTATTTCCGGCTAAATACATGGTTCAAAAAAGAATAATTAATTACAAGTAATAGAATGACTCACAAATCTTTTCAATTGTACTTCAAAACTCTTCATACAAAATACAAACGATTTAAAAGAATAATTTTCCAACCGGAGTTTTTTTCCGGTCAAGTACATACAAATTGTGACTGGTTAATTTGCTTACTGCTTACGTTTTGAAGATGCGGCTCAATCTTATGGCTTCTGCACACAGGACGCGGTAATGCTTGCTGCGCGGCGGAAGTTCGCGCGACAGCCAATCAATATGTTGTTTTTCCGTAAGAGCAAAATTTTAAAAAAATTCTCAGAGCTCTATGAGAAGAAAATAAATAACTTTTATTTCCTGTCAACTCTATAACCTAACCTAACCTGCCAACTTCACGCATGCACACAGAGGACGAATAGGAATATATAGCTTTCTCTCTCGCACACATCTTGGAGACACTTTCGCGCCAGCATTCCCCCTCCATATATATATTCTCTAAGGCTCAATGGTCCTCATTTCTATTGCCACGATGAAAATAGAGGACTCTGATTGGTCAATTTTCTTATGCGTTGTGCATTATGCCTTTATGCAAGAGTGTGTGCTCCCCGCTTTACTGCTTAAATTTTTCTGTGTGCCACTAGTCTGTAACCATAAGAAATTGACCAATCACAATCGAATATTTTCCTCATATTTGATTGTGATTGATCAATTTCTTTACTGCTTAAGTTTTTCTATGTGTCACTAGCTTAATGACGTAAAAAGTATGCTGTTAACAATGGTATACAAAACTACTGAATGTGCTAGTAAATTACTTTCCAAACCGGGAAATGAAAAACCGCAAGAATTCAAGAGGCAGCAAATACAATACGAAGATTTAACTACCGATTTCAAGGATAAATCTGTCGATTTCTCCAAACAGTTTTGTTATATTTATACAGTGAGACTAGCGGAGCTAAGGGAGATATTGATACCACGAATTATTGCAAAATGGAGTAAGTTATACATGTTTTTATCCCTATCTTCTCTCCTTTCGAAAACAATTATGTGAATATTACAGCAAGAATTAAAATTATAATAAACAAATGTTTCATAGACACATCACTCTTAAAAAAATGAATGAAACAAAAAAAAAATAAATGACTTGTTTTATCACTTGTTTCATTCCCAGGTGATACGAAGATATTGAAATTGGCAGAATTAGAAGATTTTGAAGGACAAGAATGCGTAATAATTGGTACTCTTTACAAACATCAAAAGTGGAAGCCATCGATACTGCAAGAGTTAAGCGAAGATCATCAACTTACATTGCCTGAGCCAAGATCAAATTACTGCTCAGAAAATGATCAACTTTTTTTGGAAGATGAAATGTTACGTATTAAATTAGTAGTTGACGGTACAGAGTTGAGGAACTATGTCACAGGAATTGTATGTGCCATATTAGGTCATAAAGAAAAAGATGGCACATTTGTGGTAAGCATGGTTTTTGTTTCTTTATATACACTTATTAAAAGATGCTCTATATATTGTGTGCAAAAGAGAAAGAAAGAAAAAAAAGATATTGACAATTTATTCTTTATTTAGATCAAAGAATGGTGCTTTCCTGGTTGTATACCCAAGAGTTTGTCAGCACCACAATCTAGGGGAAAACTGGTGTTCCTTTCTGGACTCGACTTGGCAAACAGCTTTGAAAATTTGTCACTGGAACTTTTAACAGAATGGATCTGTGGTATGTCTGGTGATGCAACAGCGCAAGAGGATGTTACTTGTGTTGTTAGAGTTATTATTGCTGGTATGTCATTTCTCTTCATTTTGTAACAGCAAAGCAAGCCTTTTATAGTACCGTTAATATCGTATACCAGGTAATTCCGTGAAAACTGCTACAAGGACAAACACCCTGATTGGACATGCCGAAGGGAAGGCACAGGATACCGCGATAGTAAAGGAATTAGCTGTAGCGACGAAACATGTGGACGCGTTTCTCGCTGAAATAGCAAAATGTTGTTGCATCACTTTGATGCCAGGTCAGCACGATCCCACGAATGCTATGCTGCCTCAGCAGCCGCTACATCCGTGTGTACTACCATTAACGTCGAGGTATTATGCAAATATATAATATATACCACTTGTAACAGATACGAACTGTATTCCAACGTTTTATCACACAGAGAGACCCATCACAGTTTATTTTATCGATATCACGCAAATGTTGTCCTGTTTAACATTATACATTTTCTAGATATCAAAGTTTTAAAGGTGCGACTAATCCATGGATCGGTAGAATCGCTGAGCGTGTGATAATGGGCAGCAGCGGACAACCAATCGAAGATATCGCGAGAGTAACGGGTGCGGTGGATATTTCTTCTTTAGAATGGCTGGAAAGAACACTGCTTTGGAAACACATGTGCCCAACTGCTCCAGATACATTACCGGTGCATCCTTATTCTGAGAGAGATCCGTTTATTATAAAACATTGCCCGGATATATATTTTGTAGGTAACACGGCTAAATTTGAAACAAAGTTATGGAAAGGTAAGTGTTGCGTACAGGTGGAGCACAGATTACTTTATACTTTTCAAGTGACAATTAAGGTGCATTATTAATGCTTGCAGGTGAAGACAATCAAGTGGTTCGACTAATTTGTATTCCCCAATTTTCTTCTACACATACTGCAGTTACTGTGGATATTGAAAGTTTGGATACTAAATCTGTTTATTTTGGGAGAGGATAGATGTCTGAATAAATACATCGAATACACAATTATATCTCAGGAAGCAACAGAACGCATGTCGCTATCATCAATCCATATTTTTGTATTCGTGTTCTTTGATATATTTCTGTACTATTTATACATTATACGCTAAGATTTGGGAATAAAAACGTGACTTTGTATTTTCAGAATATTACATGTGTATAGTTATATTATAGCGAAATCCATCGTTATTAGCCAAATATATGTCGTACTAAGAAGATCAGCTAGACTTAATATGTCGTAGTAGGAAATGTCGTAAATAAGAAAACTGATAAACACGCGCAATTTGGCACGCTGACAGAAAAAGGAAGAGTTCTGTTATCACTCATTTTTATTTGCATCATAAAAGTGATGTACAAAATTGAAACGCATGCGATTTTTAAAAGAGTGTAGACATTTTTCTGGTTATAAAACTTTTCTAATACGAACGAAAATACATGTAATATCACAGACTATTAGAAAATCGTGAAATCACAGTGACACAAAAATTTCGGCATTGTTAACGCTTAAATTAATGAATGAAGTTGTCTCACAAATCGCAATGCAATGATAAGAACATAACAGTCAAAATACAGGGTATTTTTATTCAACTGATAACACAGCTACTCATACACAAGCATTTTTAATACTAGCTGCTTTTGTTCTATACATCTCAAATTCACACGCTATATATCAAGACTATATCCCCTATGATACACGAATATACATTCTTTCGCATAATTTTAATGTTGTGTTCTTACCTGTACGATGTAACAGCGTATCTTAAAAAATATAGAACATAGATCGTATGAAAAATAAACGGGACTTGGTACTCGATTAAACTGTGATTTTGACTGTTACATAAAATATGATATTTGCGAAATTAGGTGCAAAAGTTGTTATGAGACAGATATGTATATACATACATATATATATATAATGTGTGTGTGTGTGTGTGTGTGGTCTGTACATATATAATACAAAGATTTAAAAATACAAGTTCACATAATAAAATCGTAACGTACATTAGTGATCGAAGCATTCACGACGATATCGGCGTGTCTCGCAAAGTGTGTGCGCGTATCTGGTTTTGGGCTCTCTGGCCATATTCTTTTTTACAAAATAAAAAAAAGCGCACAAGAATCGACAAATACACAGTGCTATGGAGCATATCGATTGGCACTTTTATTTAAAGTGAAGGACTGATTGTGACATAAATACAGCTTTTAGTACAAAATCGCTCGATCTGTCATGAGATTCCACTTTTCTCGGAATTATAATACTACCTATTATTCGTAACATAGAGAAGGAAAATTGGTAATGCAATGTATGTACATTAGCGTAATACGGCGCTCATAGAATCCTAATGCTTTGGCCAAAATAGCAATATTTAAAAAAAAAAAAAAAGAGTAATAATAATCAAGGTTTTCCATTAATTTAAGCAGGATGAAGTTATAAAATTTATATTTATAATACACTTTACAGATTCGTAATACCATTTAACTTAAGGTGCATGTTACATGAGCGACAGGTATATATAACAATTGACAGGTAGCTTCTGTATATAGTAACGACGACATAGACAATGTATTTATTAAGAGTTTCATCCTATCTTTTAGCCGTCGGACGTATTCTCTCCTTTTCAGTGTCCCTATCGTCGGCTACTGTCCACTCGGGATCATTCGGATCCTCACCGTCTATATCGCAACAAGCCGATTCGGTCGAATCTGATTCGGGAGAATCCATTTCCACGTCCTAGAAACGAAACACGAATGATTATGCGCGACGGTTGCCGGGGGGACCACTAGCCGTATCCGATCGGTCATTTGGCGATATATTACAAAAATTCTATTCAAGATTGCAAGCTCGTATACACATATACACACACACACATACGTGTGTGTTTGTGTGTGTATAAGTGTATATGCGGTAGCTATATATACACGAACCAAGGAGCAAACTATATCGTGTAAAGGACACTATGATGCACGAATACTATCGTACAACGATCGCGTTAGCATACGTAACGTAACGAGTTTGAACTTTGTGTAGTAACTTTGCTAAATCTGTGAGAAGAGAAAGGCGTGACAAATAAAACGAATTACGTTACGAATATAGGAAGCATCAAGTGGCACTGCTTACCGGAGAGAGATAGCCTCGAGAGGAGCCATGAAAGTTGGCTCAAAGTGTACATTAATAGTCAGTACTAGCACCCATACATTGGTATAATTAAAACTTCTCAGATATTTTAATGCGAAGATATCAATATAAGTACAATGTACGTACATCATCACCCTTATCTCCGTCGCGGGAGCATAGAGATGTCGACGAAGCCTGCCAGTGTCCGTCCGGCATTACCTTTAGCATCTTGTCGTAAACTTCCTCGGATAGCGGGAATATTCTTGGCTCATACGGTAAAATCTGCGAGAAAATGTCGGTACATCTAAACCGATCAAACGCGCATTTCGTAACATTATCGACTGTGTGTGTGTGTGTGTGTACTCATGTTACCTCGTTTTCGTCTTCGGTAAATGCGATCGCAACATCGTCTCTTCCAAGTCTAAACGCGGCCGTTGACGTGACAGGTATGGCGCGACGTCGTAGAGCGTTTTGTAGAGCAGTCGGTCGCTGCGAATCCAAACTCGACGGCTGCGGATGCTCCGTATCCTGCACCTGCGACGGGGTGGCGGGCGGAGACGTAATAGGCGATATCACGTCACCGCTCATGTCGCTAGCGTGCGGCGACATGGGATCTGAAAGAATGTTCGGTTCTTTGTAGTCTCCCGCGCGTGACTGGGACGCGAGATCGGGATGCAAAGTGGTATACCTGGCGTATTCGCACCGCTGTCCGCTCTGCTGTCGACACGGCGTTGGTTGTGACGAATGCGCGTCTGATGAGGCATATTGATATACGTCATGAAACGCTTGTTTTCCTCGCGCTCGCTACGCTCGTGCCTCAGAGCGATAGTTTCATCTGACATATCTTCAAACTGTGTGATTTGATTCGACAATTAGTGATTTAATGCATATATAAGAGATCAAAGAGCACGAGTGATCAGCTGTATCATATACTTACATCACTGTCTTGACCAGACCTATGCATCACACCATTTTTCACGTCCATTCTCGTAGGCTCCTCGCACAATCTCCATCTTTAGTGAGAAGAAGAGAAACATTTGTACATAATATACGCGAATGGTAGAGAGAGAGAGAGAGAGAGAGAGAGAGAGAGAGAGAGAGAGAGAGAGAGAGAGAGAGAGAAAGGGAGGAGGGGAGAGGGAGGGAGAGAGATAGAGAGAGAAGGGAGGAAAGGGAGAAAAAGGAAGAAAGAGAGAAATATTCTACTTACTTTGGTGTTAAAATCTCCTTGTATTGCAATTTTTCGAGCCTGGTTGAAGCAGCGACACTGTAGGGGATGACTATATTGTCAATGTCGTACGAGTTTTGTCGCAAACGCCTGAAACGTTACAGTCAAGCTGTGTTACAAAGTCTTTAGAGTTTGTTTCAGAACAAAGAAAGATGATAACAACTTTATCGGTAGCAACCGTAATCACGCGTGATCAATAAAACAGCTAATAGAAATTGCTAATGGAAAAAACAAGTGCAGCTAATTCACACTTACCCGTGTGAACTGGAACTTTTTTCTTTAACAGTATTTTTCTCCAATGAGGCAGTAACGTGTTGCAATGGAGAAGGCACTGGAGACGAATGTTTGCTGGAACTTGAAAGCGCGCTGATGTCGTCGTCGTCCTCGGTCGGCAATTTTGATATTCGTTTCTTATTTAATCCGTGCACACCTCTCTCGTGACCGAGTCTATTTCTTTTTCCATTTTTCAACACTTTTCTCTTGATCCCTGTGTAAAAAGCACGTAGTTATTCGTTGCGTGCGCCGTAACAATATTCCATCTCTCAATCGACAAATCGACACAAATCATAAAACACGACACATTACACAAATGCTCGCCGCTTACTTGCTGTAAGTATAGTAGAGGATGATTTTTTCAATCGCGCGGTGTATTTCGTCCTGTGACCAGGAAGTTTCTTATTCCTTCTTTCATTGCCATCTTTATCTTTTACTCGGGTAACTCGCAAGTTTGCTCTCAAAATCTTTTGTTGCCACTCCACCGACTTCATAATAGCTTCCAAGTGAGTGCCATGTACAATTTCTAAAATAAAGAAATTTGTGTTATTCGAAATACTCTAATACACATGTATACACATTTGTGTTACATTTCTGTGTCACATTTGTGTTGTATTTCTTTCAAAGCTTGGCTTTTCTTTGGTGGCGAGATGGTACATTAGTCAGCTACTTGATCAAAGGGATGTAATGTGTAATATATGTAATGAGACAAGTAATCATACCGTCCGTGAACGACAACACCGGATGAAAACTAGGATCAACAAGTGCTACACGTTCCTGTATAGAAAGCTGTTCAATTGATTCTTGTGGCTGCATTGGATCAAGCCTTCCTGTACATAAAGCACACGCAGGCAACACATGATCACAGTTGCATCTCACTGTTGACGCTTTAGCTGCACGCTTTGAAACTTCGTGTAGTTTGTCCACTTGCAAAAGCTTTCTCTTTCTATAAAAACTCCATACAAATGGACGCGTTCTACTAGCTGGTAATTCACTTTCGGGTGAACTGTATCGTCCAGTAGAACCAGGTAGAGCGCCACTATATCCATTAACAGTTTCTGCATTATCGATAATAATCAAGCCCTTTGTGGCCCTAATATGCCGCTGCAGATCGTTATGCTGTCTAATTCTGTATTCTAAATCTGATATTTGTGCCTGCAGCCAGGTCCACCGTGATGCTACACCTGCACGATCTTGTGCATATCTCCATGCTGCTCTTTTGGATCTGTGCAAATAATGTAACAATACGATTGGCCTACCGATTCGCAAGTAAGGAGATACGTTGTAACAAATCAGTCTATCGCTATCACATAATTACACATAGGTTTGTATGCATATATATATATTGAGAATTGAAGAAGCTCCGACTGAACCAGTTGAATAACGAGTTACTCCAATGTTATATCGTTTCATCTTGTTACTTTGAGTAAAACGAGAAAAGATGTAACACGTTTACATATTACGTACGTACGTACATACGTACGAAATGTAACATTAGTTGTATACTCAATTCGAACACAAACATCAAACCATTACAAGTGTGTTTAAAAGCAGCAACTTTGTTTTTTCTTAATATAAACAAATGATAAAAAATTTCGAACCGAGCCAAAAAGTGTATGCATGTATTCGGTCCGTTTTCTTCCACTGCGCAATGGTGTGTATATATATATATATATATACATATGATATATATATATATATATATATATATATATATATATATATATATATATATATATATATATATATA